TAGAACTTGAAATGGCAGTTTTAGGCATGAATGAATGAATGTATGAATGAATAGCAGTACCTTTTATATTTTTTGCACTAGATTTAGTTGATTGGTAGTGTTTTTTTAATTTCCTAATGGTGAACTCAATATTTGTGTTGTATAGGTTGTTCTGCTTCAAATACAACTCCATTCTCTGTCTGCTATGTACCAGTAGAATTTTAAAAGCCCAGCAAATGTGCATTGCAAATACAAATAAGTATCAAGATGAAACACATCTATCAAAGTAGGTTCTTCAGAATTTGCTTTAATTGTTATCAAAAAAAGAGGAAGGGCCTGATTAGAATAATGTTCTTTAATAAATCTGTGTTTCCTTTGTATATCCTTGATACGACCCTGCTGGTTAATGGATACCAGATAATTTGAAATTGAAAGACTACTGTCATTATCTTAGACACAGACACTTTTGCTATCTGTACACCAGTTCCTAATAAACAAGGTTTATAGAGTGAAATAATAAATCACTATATGCATGAGCAGCCCCAAATAAATGATTAATGTTATTATTTTCTCCTTAGAATTTGATAAACCCATATATCTCCTTTGATTTCTCTCAGCAGTGCTCTACAAATGCTGGATAACATGATGGCTTGCATAAAATGTATTTTTAGTAGAGGAAGAAAAAGAAAGAAAAGAGCTGGTTTGGGGGATTTTGTTACAATAAAAAAAGGTTAGGGGGAATTTCCATGTGCTGACATGCATCAGACATTTCAGGTGACTATACTTGAAAAAGAGATTAGTAACGTTAATATACTTTGGTTACAGCTCAAAGGAGAAGATGCTAACACAACTAGTTTTCCAAATTTTCAGCTGGGTATTCTTTAATATGGAATACCCAGTGTGATGTAATGGATAGAGCAACAGATTAAGTCTCAGGAGTCTCAGGTCAAATCTGCATTTCCCATAGGAATGCATTGAAAACCATTTGATCCGTATCTGCTCTTTTCCGTCCATAGAAACTAATGGGAAGCTGCTATTCTGCCTTCGACCACTAGAGGGGGATATTTTGTTTCTTTTTTTCTTAGGTTAAGAAAGGTTCAGGGAAGGCAGGGAAAATACAGTCCAGGCAGTACAGTACCAGGCAGTCTGAAGACTGTCTCCCAATCCACTCTCTAAACGCTGGGAGGAGTGAGGAAGCAGACAGGCACCCTTTTCACTGGCCAACAGTTAACTGAAAGTTCACATTTTGCACTTTCCCTGCCTCCCACATGGGTTTTTTTCAGTTCTTAACTCAAATCTAAGTATGTAAGTCAAGTCAATATTTTCCTATGAGAGTGGTTCTTAAGTCAAAATGTTCTTAACTCAAGCCGTTCTTAAGTCAAGACCCCACTGTATTCTTTAATATGGAATACCCAGTGTAATGTAATGGACAGAGCAACAGATTAAGTCTCAGGAGATCTGGGTTCAAATCCCCGCTCACTGGAAACTCATTGGAGGGTATGGAAGTGGTACACTATTTAAATATTTCACATACCCTGAAAGCTCTGTTAAAGCCGCTATGAGTCGGTTCTGACTTGAGAACACATAGAAACAATGCTTTAGTATAGGCATTTAAAGATGGGCAGCACAATCCTGCCTTATGTACCTATACAGAAGGTAAAATTCTATTGAACCCTTTCTATTGACCTTCTGCTTGTGCTGGTGTGCTACAGAGCAGCTTTTGTGGCACAGCAGCATTCTTTCCAACAAAAGGCAGGCATTTTGCATTCAAACAGGAGGCATTCAATACCCCAGTTCTCTTCACACCTCATTCTCAGGATGAGAAAACAGTAGAGGTAGTAATAAGCAAAGAATTAGAGAAGAGAAACTCCAAAGTGTAAGTTTGCCATCCTATAATCACACATCTGGAAGCCCCACTGAATTTACTAGTTCCAAGACACTGAATAATAAAATAAAATAAAATAAAATAAAATAAAATAAAATAAAATAAAATAAAAATAATTTATTGTCATTGTAAGTATATACACATACAACGAAATTCACAGACACCCAGAGACCAGACACATGCACACACATAAAATTCCCAAACACTCCCCACCCACTAAAAGTCCCCCACTAAAAATACAAACATCTACACCGCAGGCCAAGTAACACAGTCCAACTAATTATTCACTACTGGTGGTCTTTAAGCTCATTATTATTTGCAAATATAGCTCTGGGATAAAGAGGTACAAGGGATTATATGTCCCCTTCTCTTGCTACACAAAATTGTAGTTTTTGCAGAGCTACATCGGATTTTTGTTTAATGTCTTAAAGGGGTCATATGGTGAAAGTAGCCATCCAAATAACATAATGAGTATGTATCTGAGCACAGCTGGAATTAAGCTACAATCTGGTAGATGTGTTTTCAGAATTGTTTACGTTGCATTACTATAACAGACTACAATTTCCAAAGTAGTAGCTGTGTTAGTCTGTCTCAGCATGCTAGCAAAAGTAAAGGGAGAAAAGCGAAAATGTAGCACTCTAAAATAGATTTATTTCAATATGAGATTTCATGGATCAAAATCCACTTCTTCAGTAATAGGGAGTACGAACAGATGCCCCCTATATTTATTCATGCAGGTGAGATTCACATTCAGGAAGAGGACTCTCAAGTTTTTAATTTAACAGATTCAAATGTGACTAAAATGGGAGCAAAACACATTGCATTCCTTCAATAAAGATACTGAAATATCACCACCACTCTCTCTACAGGGAATATCCAATTTATGAATTTGACCTAATGCAAAAACAGTTTTCGTTTTCATTACAAAGCCTCTCCCACTCCAACAGTTTTACTATCACAGTCTAAAAGCTTCCTTTGTCACACCCAGTTACTATAGAATTGCTCATTTAGCACCAGTGACCATCTTTATTAATTCTTAGATGTAGTTTATACAAACATACACAAAGACACAGAGACCTGAGCACTTAACATTTTATTGTAGAGTTCTCAAGTTAAATACAAATCTATGGGTTTTTCCATACGAAATTAAAGACTAGTGCAACTAGTTTGTTACAATATATTTGAGATGTACAGATAATTGTAAGATAGTTATATTCTCCCTGGTATTGTATTTACACATTTAATATACTGCTTAATATTTACATTTTTAAGCATAGACCATAGATATATATTGGTTACTGTACAGTTCTTACAGATATTAGTCAAATTCTATTAGTTACACCTGGAATTGTAATGCAATCATCATAACTTCTGGAGGTAAATAGCCTCAAGTTAAGAAATCAACATAACCATGATGTTTCACAGTTTCATGACTCAGCACATTAACAGAAAATGTCTAAACTTGAGGACATTTACCTCCCAAAGTTTTACTATTTGTGTTATGCCAGCATAAAATCCCGTTAGGATTTTGATCATTAGTAAATATTGCATTCATCACAAGAAAGCCATCAGGATTTCCCTACAAATTCTTATGAAATTACATATTAGGCTACATTAGCGAGATGTACTGCTATCTTTTCTATGCTGAAAAATATTACCATAATAATATCTATATTAGATATGAAATTATGTTTAATGTTTATACTTGTAATAAACAGATGTGAAATGGTAGAAATATTTCTTTCATGTAACATTGGGTTGGGATGGCACTTTACTTGAGGTAAAAAACTAGCAAAAATGATAATCCCCTTTTAAGAGTAAGGTAGATAGGGAACAAATATATATACCCTGAAAGACTACTGTGCTTTTCTCTCCAGATTCTTTTTTGCACGTGATATTTTTAAATGGGAAGCATTACATAACTGAATGGAGCTTGGAACTTACAATACAGTCACTCAGATCATTTGCCTAAGGAACCACTGTCTTGGGGATTTTTTTCCGGCACCTTAATAGTGCTTGGTTACTCTAAAGCCAAATCAGTTGTTGAACAGAGAATCTGGGACAGAATTACAAGAACATTTAAGTTTCCTGAATAAATATAGTGCCTTAGGCACTAAGATATTTGTTTCCTCTACAGTATTTCACTACTTTAACTTGCCTTTTGTGCTTTTGAAGGGGAGGCATCATAGAACCCCTTGTCAGGATAATCATGTCTCTCCCTGTAATAGTAGGGAAGTGGAAACTGTGAGGCATGTTCTTTTCTACACTGTAAAGAATTTCTTTTATTAATTCTTCAAAAATTCCCAGTAGAGCAGAAGAATCTTACACTCCGCCTTTCAACAATGTTGGGGTTAGGGGTGCCGGATTGTCATGTAGTTCAAAATCCATGCACAACACTTATGCCCCCCCAAGCATAACTACAAAGCATGAAGAGTTCTCACACACACACACACACACAAAGAGAGAGAGAGAGAGAGAGAGAGAGAGAACAGTTCTTTCCATTGGGGTTATCTTCCATAGCGCTGACAATCCTTTCCATAGAGTACCATGTATAATGAGTCTTAAAGGTCTTTATGATCCTCTGATCCAGAGGCTGAATTAGAGATATTGTTTTTGACGGCAAGGAGACCACCTTCACGCCTTCAGTTCAACACTCATGTGATTCTGGGTGGCCAAGGGCACAGTATTTACTGAATAATTATTTATTATATTGTAATTTTTATTTATTTATTTATTTAAAAACGGTGTGTAACCCAAACCATGTTGTTCAGACCTGTACAATTCAAGAGAGAAATGTATATCATTGTTCCTTTCTGATCAAGTCCTCCATATTACTACTATCTCAGTTTTGGATACTTGTGACATAAATATTACATACTATATGAATGCAGTGTTTAGCATAATGTATATTGCACATTTTGTTATGTTTTGTACTGTACTATTTGTTTGGGCTGGTCTTTAACTTCAATAACTTCAATTTCATTTCATTTTAATCACTCAAATGGATCTTACAGAGGAAGTTTTGTTACTGTTGCCCAGGCATTTTTTGCCAAGTGGCAATCTACACTACACAGCAAATTCTTCTCAATCCATTCCTCATAACTGAAATTATTAGGTTAATAAGGTATTTTTTTAAAAAAATCCTAATCTCTGAATGCTGCAATTTACTTTTCCTTCTCAATTGTTAAATAAAACATTCACTCTAATTAGTAGGCATCATGCATTTTATTTTTCAGATTATGTTCTGTCAATGGAATAAATTTTAGACACATTATGATGCTTTGTAATCATAAGAAATAACTGTTACTAAGAAATCATGTACTGTACTGAGCTTAAATTTAGAAACAATTTAAAACTGGAGTAAGACACATACTCTAAGAACTGCAGACATAGCGAATCATGCTACAGAATCAAATTTCTCCTCTATATTATTATTAGTTAATAACCTCAGGAGAAGTTGAAATCATGTAGCCATGCCTGGTAGCACTATATTGGCCCTGGACTTCCACTGCACAGAAGACAAGGACAGCAAAAACAAGTATCCTCCCCTTCATGTAATGGCACACTGAGATATCCTAGGAAACGGAACCCCACCAGACCATCTTTACAGTCCATCCACAATCTCGAATCTTGCCTCCATTAAGGGGGGCATCTTGTTTGTCATCAAAGGAAGAGAACAATTGGATTTTAATAAAGCTATTATGCAGCCATGTGATGGTAAACAAGGGCTTCAAACCGGAAGGAGACCATGTTTCTTGGTTACAGTCCCAATCCAATCCAAATGCATGGCTAAATAGAAAGACACTTGTAAATAATCTGCTGGTAACAATACCTTAAAGAAAAGAACCCTTCAGAAATTTTTGCAGCCTTTTAGGGAAATGCACCTATCAGATTTTTATGCTGATCTTCCCAAGTCACTCTAGTAGAAGGGGGAGCACATAAACAGCTCCACTGCCTGTAGTTTTCATACATTCAGGTATCTCTATATATGGCAAGCAGCATTAGGTATGTATTAGCTAAAAAGGCATTAAAAAGAGGAAAAAGAAACAAAAAAGAACAAAAAGGCACATTGGAAGAGCTCTTGAAATTATTTTGTTCCATTTACACATTATAGATTAGCCAATGGCCACACTGATCCAACCTGTAGACTTAAGAGATAAAAAGTTTTTCACCGGTCAGGATGGAGACCTGCAGCCTTCCCAGATGTTAATGAATTCCCACTATTCCTGGTCCTCAAAATCTATCATATATCATCCTTGCTTCAGTAGATCCATGGTTGCATCAGCGGGTGCTGCAAGCCTTCTTACAGAAACATCTACCAGGAAGAAAATTATGAGATACCCTCCTCAGCAGCATGATAGATTCCCATACGTACAAGATTTTTACATGGCGAAACCCTTTTACTACTCAATTCTACTATTTACATAAATTGGCCATTATGCTAATGAGTATTAACACCTGCTAGAACCTTTTGTTGTAAAGTACTGTACTGTAACTTCAAGTCACAAAAATAATAGTTTGTTCGAATGGCTAATTTAAAAATGTGATAAACTTCTCAAATTAGTTTGAGCAAAATGTCTCTCTATTTTATATACATGAATTCCTGCAACATATTCTTTCTTTAAAGATAAATGTCAATGTAGTTAATGAATCAGGCAACATTATCGGTGAGGTCAGCAGACTAGACCTGAGAAATCTTTACCAGTCCACAAGGACAACAGACTATAGAACTGTGGAGTCATCATCAATCCAGGATTTCAACACTGCTTCACAATCAATCAAAATTTATAATCCAGAGGGCAAGTGGCATGCTGGCTGTTGGCCATCAAGTAACTGACTCCTCCAATGCTTCTTTTCCATACTCAGATCAGCCCATCTTTGGTGGAGGTGAGAATAAGATGAATACCTTATTTATCTGTCAAGTACTCCTATCATGTTAGAAAATCAAGATAAGGCAAAAACAAATTAAAACATATTCTTCGTGGTAAACTAAGCCTTGGACTAGGGGGAAAAGTCTACATACTGAAAAAGAATGATAGTTTTCAAAGCATTAAATTATAAAGATATAGATATGGGAGAAGAAATCTCTTTTATAGTCAACATATTTCAGAAAGTAAAATGAAATATTTTAATGAACACTATCTGTGCATCACAGTGTTTTAGCATGTGTGGATATCTTGTGTTCATTTAACTTCGAGATGGTGTGTTCCATTAAAATCTATGTTACTGGGTTTCATTCTGTAAACAAGCATAACACTAAAGATATTTAAATATTTTCTGTTTCAAAACAAAAGAAAAACAAGCCCATACAACCCCTATGTGACCTTACTACCCAATTCACTTGTTCTCATTTTCAGTGCAAGACTGATTATTCCTGTTAGCTCCCAAGCACACCAGACACCGGAAATATTTCCATGAAAATAATGAACATAATCGACTGGGAACAAAACTCTTGGAGACAAGACAATCAGTCATTAGATACCAATGAACATAAAGCACTTCCTTCATTCACACAATAATTCAATTATTAAATGAAAAAGGGGAGCATAATGAAAATAAAATTGGATTTGCATCTTTTCTATGGGGACTAAACAAGAATGCAGACATTCAAGCCAACAGAGTCTTCTCAACAGCTTGTGTTGCCCGTTTCTTTGGTAATCCACTGATCTCATAGCCTTTTTCCAAACCATAATGCTAAACTTTGCATAAATATGGCCAGAATAATGAAAATGATACTATTCCACAACAAGCTGATTGATGGTGTGCGTTTTCTTGTTCTTTCATCTCTTGTAATGATTGGGAGCGTCTGCAAATGCAAACTTCAGTCTGTAAGCTTCTGCCAGGAGAACACTGATCTCCTCATTTCCCCAGTGCATTGTGGGTAAGTTCTGTAAAAAGATAAGGAGTTCCTTTGGGAAAGAAGAAGAAAAGGAAAAAAATCAGAATACAGGAGATTCTGCAAATATCTCAGTATACACTATGCTGATTATTTAGCTACAGCAATATAAACATTCAATCAATCCAGAACTGCCTGTTATTCAGAACTGGCTTTTTAAAAATTATGAAAAGACCTTTATGCTTACAGATACAGTATATTAAAAATGTCAACATAATTGTATTTGAATGCATGGGGCACACTCATGACGAGAACAAACAGTCAGAATGTTTCCTTGTGAGTAACTCATATAACTTGTCCCTTGAGACACCTATATAAATACAGTAATTAAAAGGGGGGAAAATGAACAGAAAATTCAAAAACAATAAAATAGCTATGAAAATGAAAGCAGTAGCTGGGCGTTAACAGCTATAAGAAAGGAGAGTGGGAGAAAAGAACACAAATAATTACATTACTTTTATTTTCATCTTTCCCAGTTCTTATTTCCTGTTACAGTATTTACTTATCTAGATTTTATCTACATCTTTATTAAGGAGTCCCTCTCTACTTTTTCTAATAGAGGTGAGCAAATTTATTATAACAAAACTCAAAGAAGTCTGTAGAATACAACAAAAATGAATAATCTTGGATCAGTTATTACTTCAACCATCCACGACAGAGAATCCTGGCCTGTCTATTTTAAAACAACAACAAAGATAACATATATGCAAGAACAATGGTGTAATTCTGGCATACAAGCAGTAATCATATTTAATTCACAATGTGTATAGCTGATTTGAAAATATTAATATTTAAGTACTGGGAAATGGAAATCCAAGCAAAATAGCATTCCCACCCATGCAGCAGCCAAAACTTCAAAGGTGTTACAAAAGAAAGTCCCTTAAGAATTGTCTATTTACTAATATTAAAACATGAACGGAAAAATCATAAACAGATTTATTCATGGACACGTGCAAAATGGAAATGGATTGGAAAATCAAATTAATCCATTCTTAACTTGAAACACATATACATTATTATACAACATATCCACTCTCCCAATTTCTGTGATCTGTTCACCACAGAAAATATCCACATATGACCACATAACAGATAGCAACATACAGTGGTGCCTCGCTTAACGAGTGCCTCGCTCAACTATGAATTCGCATAACGATGGCCTTTGCTGGAAATTTTGCCACCTCACCTAACGATGTTTCCTATGGGGGATTTTCGCATAACGATGTTTGGGACCTTGCTTCACTTAACGATGACAGTTTTAGGTCCCCTGTTTCGCTTAACGTTTTTTTTGACAGCCCTGTTTTCGCTATTTTAAGAATATTCTAAAATGTTTAAAAATGTTTTAAATGCTTGGAATCGTTAGTGCACCTAATAAAACCTTAGTTAAAGTAATTTGGCTTCGTTCTGAGTCTTTTTGAATTTTTGGTGATTTTTTTCACCATTGAAATGTATTGAATAGGCTCCTATTGGAACGGATTAACCGGTTTTCAATGCATTCCTATGGGAAATGGTGTTTCGCTTAACAATGTTTTCACATAACGATGTTTTTAATGGAACCAATTACTGTAACATAGTTATGCGAGGCACCACTGTATATTGCTAAAGCACCTGCCTGCAGAGCCAGGATTCAGGAGTTCTATTCCCCCTGTACCTCCTGGTACAAAAAAACCTACAGAGGTGGCTTTAGAGAAGTGCACAATTTCAGAGTGCCATCAGGAGGAGGGACTGGTAAATCTTATTAGAACTATACCTAGAAAATCCTGGAAAGGAACACTGTAAGTAGACAGTAACTCAATGGCAAAGATTCCATCTTTTTCTGGTTTTGCTCCTTAAACATTTCACTACAAGGGGACCAGGCTCTGGAATTACTGTGACTGCCGCCACAGACTTCAGTCATGTTGCACAGACGTGGTTTGCCCATGGACGTTCAAGGAGCCTATCATTTCTAAACCCCACTTGGCTCTGGGCAGCAGCAATGTCAATACAGACATCATAATCAGCTATAGCAGCAGTTCTTAACCTTTTCTTTACCATGGACCCCCTTTAAATATCTTTTGTTGCCCCAGACCACCAAGATTTAACTCAAGATTTAAAACTCTAAAGTGCATTAAATATGTATTTAAAGTTTCTCATGAAGGGTCTCATCAACAGATATTCCTTGCTATAATGGTGACACTTCTTAAGATGATTGGAAGAAGATTCATTTTGCTTTGAATAAGATGCACCCTCATCAACAGCATCAGTTCTTTTACATTTCAGATTCAGCCAGCAATCCATTCTGAGGCTCAGCCAAAATATATACAGTAGTTATGAAAGACACTGTGATAATATAGAAAAGTCATTTTACCCAACAATAACCAAATGGTTTTATTAGCAGAAACTGAAGAAACATGATGACGAAAGTCCCTTGCACTGACACTGATTGACTCTGACTCTCTCTTCTTGTGGCTTCTGACTGTCTGCGCAGTAGCAAGAAATGTTATGGTGCTGTCTCTCAAACACTCAGTGTTGTTCACTTGCATGTTCTTACCATGTGCAGAAATATCAAACAGTTATTTGCTATCAAACATTTATTTTTATAACTTATTTTTAATGGAAGTGGTAGGTTAGAAAAGCAAATGAGCACGGGGAATTAAGATTTCTTTCTTTCTTTCTTTCTTTCTTTCTTTCTTTCTTTCTTTCCTAACTGCAAAAGATAATGTTTCTTCAACCCTTTGCAGAGCCCTTGTGAGGACATCGTGAACCCCCAGGAGTCCACGGACCACAGGTTAAGAACCTATGAGCTATAGTACTCAGATACAGAAGGGCAACAGAAAATCACCATCTTGTATTTTCCAAGTACACATGTCGGTGCTATACAGAGATATAAAAAACCCTTCAGCATGCAGCAGGCTTTAGATGCCCAGAAGAATCTCCTGGCTGAAAAGTCAGATAAGGACTCTGGAATGCATGCAGCATGTATGAGGCAAGGAAAGCCCACAAGTGCATAAAATAGATGAAGAAGATGAACATTCAGATTCTGAGATGAAATAAAGTTCATTGGCAAGGATATGTTGGTCTAAAAAATTTTTGGGAGGTAACAAAACACAAGAATCCATCTGAGATGGTATTTTATGCTACTGTGCTTTAAGGAACCAAAGATCATATAGATAGGTTAAAAATGCTCATCCCAGAGATGATGTGCATTCAGCTCAAATTCAGAGTAGACATTGTCTAGAGGGACGGGGTAAAATCAAATAAATAAATAAATAAAAATAAAATAAATAATCCTGTCACTCATCTCAAGTTAAAGAAAGTACAAAAATTAAAAACAAGAAAAGACCTTAAACAATTAAGTGATCCAACTGTGTATACTGTTTTTAAAGATGGGATTCATGAAGGCATCAGTAAACTCAAATATTTCAGATATAAATGTTGCTGGTTCCAAACTGACAGGTATATTAGCAACTTGACCAACAACAACCTCAAAAGTAGAAGCACTGAAAAAAAATAAGTGGGTGATGGGAGAAATTTAAGAGTTAATGGAAGAAAAACAAAAAAGTAAAGATAACATCAAATACACAGAATGAAACAAGAAAATCTTTAAAAACTGGTGGTCCAACAAAAACAGAGAAACTAAAGAATATCCACAACTTCTTGGAAGTGCATTAAAAAGGCAAATTAACAGCAGTCATATTTTTAAAAGCTAATGCTGACTACTGAGAGACAGGAACAATTCTCTTATACCTGACATCAAAGATAAAAATAATAATATGTACTGAGCACATTATACAGCTGTTTGAAGATAATAGACCAACAAAATTTATTGTGTTAGATATCAATACCAGACTGGAAATATATAAATCTGAAATGCAAAAAAATGACAAAGCTCCTAGACGTTGTGATATATTTACAGATGTACTGAAGCTAATAGAAGATGACTCATATTTTAGTGAATTTTTCCAATCATCTACAGAATAGGAATTATTCCTGAAATTTGGTTAAGACTAAACCTTTATTAGATTACCTTAAAAGACAATGCCAAGGATTGTAGTGACTACATAATAAGATCCATAAGTTATTTGCTGAAAGTTTTGTTTATAATAATAAACAGATGAATTTACCAAAAAATAAGAAATAGATACACAATTTGAATTTAGAGAAGACTTGGGAAACAGGGAAGCACTATTCAGTATAAGTTTACTTTACTATTTTTAAAAAAGCCGATGACAAAATCCAATGGAACAAAATGATGTGTTGGTTGAAAAAAGGTCTGAATTCAAGATATGTTTTTTGTAACTAGTAACTTGTGCCAGCGTCAAACAGCTGAAGAGCAGATGCCAGAAGACCTACAGATATGAAAAGAAGTACAAAGGTATATATTCTCAGCTGTTCAATCTGTAACCTAAGAACATCTTAAAAAGCAAAGCAAAGCGTGCTGCTTATATACTGCCCCATAGTGCTTCAAGCACTCTTTGGGCGGTTTACAAGTTAATTATGCAGGCTACACATTGCCCCCCCAGTGAGCTGAGTACTCATTTTACCGACCTTGGAAGGATAGAAGGCTGAGTCAACCTTGAGCCGGCTACCTGGGATTTGAACCCCAGGTGGTGAGCACAGTTTTAGTTGCAGTACAGCTAAGCCACTTTAAGAAAAACACTTGCTGATTTAAACAATGGCATCATTGTCAATGGAGAGGTTACTGATAACTTTCAATTAGCATAGTGACTTAACTGTTGTTGTTTTGTTGCACATGTAGAAGGCAAATCACATATCATTCAGCTGCTTCTAGCTGGCAATTAAAGAGTCGTTGTGAGGACTCATCCATTGCCAGTTAGAAGTGGCTTAATATTATGCTGTTTACCTTCTGTATGCGCAACAAACCAACAAGAAGTCAGCAACAGCAGTTGGTCTGCAAAGAGTGCTTAGTAAAGTCAATGAAGAAAGTAATAAACACAGTCTAAAAATTAATTTTAGAAATACACTTGGTATTCAAAAAAGAACATGTAATGCAACTGAGGATTCAAAATGTAA